TCATGGGACTGAGCAATTGCTGTGCATTTAGAGAAAAGTTGCATTAAGAGAGGTTGCATTTAGAGAGGTCTGACTGTATACTATTTTTGATAATTATTTGGAGAGAATCTTCATTATAAACAGATCTTCGCTATAACCAGCACGTTTGGTACTGTTTGGGATGGGTTTCCAGTGAACACATGATCTATAGACGGATTTCCTCTATGTGAAGAGTATTTCTTACTAACATTCAACAGGTTACTTCACTTATTGAAATAAAAACCATTCGGACGTTGTTATCGTTGCCGAGGTGCAATCCCCCCATTACCCCATAGCCGCTACCGTGGGAGTCTCATTTACCTGGCTTTTCAGGAAATAGAAAAATCATTGACCGACGAAAAAGATTTTAACCACGACTGAGAGCCAGTGGCTAAAGTCAATTTCTCGTCAGAATTCTTCTCACTCACTAGCAGGTTTTAAGGTAATGGACCAAATGTTATGCAACTGATGTATCATGTATCTATATTATGAAACCAACTTATACATCAGTAGGAAAGACGACGACGTGAAACTTATCATAATAATAACCTCGACCGTGTTCACTCAAGATGAACATGCTGTACTAACGTAACTGATATTAACATAATACTGATTCGAAAGCAATCGATCGATAAATTTATTGGATTTATTGATTACGAGGTAAAGGATGATTTATTTATCAAAACGTCCAAACCAAAAGGGACATTGTCTATGGCAGTCTCGTGTTTTACTAACTAACTGTTTAAACTTGGGCGTTTCAAGTGTATCCCGTTTGAGGCTTGCCTTCGTTGACAATGAACTAGGATTGCATAATTTATCGAAAAGAATATCAGCTGACTGCCAGAAAATCTTTCGTACTGTCAGAAGAAGTTCCATATCCTCAATAAAACTCGATAGTTCTTTCAAGAAAGTAGGAATTGTCACTTGTCCTATGTTGATCAAGATATAAATTCCCTGAACAAGGTCCATTACGTAAAAGTCAATTGTATGATCTATAGTAATAGTAATAGAAGCAAAATGTGCCCAAAGTTATTTACAAAGAATTCGCATAATAATAAGAAAAAAAAAGTAGCTTGTAATTTTTCTTACCGATACATTGGAAACCTAAGACTTTTATATCAGCACCCTTTTCTATTGCAGAATCTAGACAATCCTTCATAAATATGCCAACTCGAATCAAGTCGTTGCAATTTTTATACACATTGTTTTTTTCCGAAGGCGCGCTGACTTCCCCCACAAATATAACACCATTCCTCTGTAGCTGATGTAAAATAGATATTGTGAAATCTGGTTGTCGGGTTCTTCCTTGCAGTTTTCTCACCTTGCTCTCATTGAGAGCTGTGTTCGGCCACTCAACAATGTGTTTATCCGGATTATGCATCATCTTCATGATGTGGTCTAGGTGATTTGTAATCAATGTTAGCTCGCTGGATTGATTTTTAATCTTTGTTGTAGGTAATGATCTCAAACACTCTAAAAATACAACGCCCAAATTCTCCTTTAAGATCTGATCATTTGAAAGTTCTGACCACAGCCAGTCAACAGCACTCTCACGTGACTCCTTTATCGCTTTCTTTGTCGCTCTCCTGAATTTTAATTCGCATTCGGAGTCTAATTCCATTGGCTGTGTCAAGACTATTTTTTTGTGTATTTCATCAAGTAAAGGAGAACTAAATATATCAATCATCGTATTTGGGTAAGAACCTGGAGTAAGAAGAAATATTGAAGACAGAGACAATATTTCATGCACGTTTGATTCAACAAGTAAGCCACCTGTCTTCGCGATCTTTAATGACTCATTTTGATACTGGCGGAATAACTGAGACACGTTAGTGTCTCCTATCTTAAAATCGTTTGCTGGGTCACCCTCTTCAAAGCACAGTTCATCTACATCATTAATAATAATGACACTATCCTCATCCTCTTCTTCATTATCCTCGATGAACGGATTATCCATTGGCAATGACAGATGACTGCATGGTGATGGCGTGGTTTCCCTGTCTCGATGTAGCCTCTTTCTCATATGTTCCTCATTGTAATCAATATTTCGTTTTCTTCTTAAAGAATAACCACTTCCCTAAAGTTTGAAATTAAATGAGGTGAGTACAAGCAAGTATATAGTAATAGGTTCAGAAAGCATGAATAAAATCACTGATAATACCTTTTCAAGCAATTCTGCAGACTTTTCCGCATATCGTGATAAAAGTTTCAGTGTATTAAAATCACTAGACTTCCTTAAAAGTTCACATCCATTCCTATCGAAAGATCTCTCGAGTTCCCGTTCATTTTGCCTCTATGAATGTATGAATGGTAAATTAATACTTTTAATAGATATTATAGGCCGAAAACCATAAATTATTTACCGCATCAAACTCTTGATCCAGTTTTTCAAAAAATTCAATAATCTCTCTTCTTTGAAAAGTTTCACGGGCATTATTGTATAGCTTTTTCGCCTTGGTCGTTGTCCTAGATTTTACAATATCAGACTCACTAATCTTCCCAAAGGCAATTATAAACGCGTCTAAGATTTCTTGTTTACTATCGGAAGTAAACTGTATGTGAGAATGA